GGATCCACGGTAATTTTCCACGGTAATTTTTACCGTAGATCCACGGTTATTTTTACCGTAGATCCACGGTAATTTTTACCGTAGATCCACGACAATTTTTACCGTGGATCCACGGTAATTTTACCGTAGATCCACGGCAATTTTACCGTAGATCCACGGTAATTTTACCGTAGATCCACGGTAATTTTACCGTAGATCCACGGTAATTTTTACCGTGGATCTACGGTAAAATTTACCGTGGCGCGTGTGTGTAGACACTGCCTATTTATTTAGTTTATTTTATGTTTAATATTTTTTTTCAAATGCCTACGTAGTTATGCAACAAACATCATATAAATTCGATTTTCAAACTTTGAATAAAAATTGTACAAATTCGACATATTTTCACCAAATTTTTAAACTTTTTATTCAGAATTTTATATTTGTTTTTTTAAGAATTTTTTTTGCTTACGGTGTCACGCATTTTTTCCCATACAAAGTGTACTCGACAATTTTATATGGAAGAGAATGCATAGCATCGTCAACAAAAAAAAAATTGTCAAAAATCAATTGTATTTTCTAGCCACGTGAAACTTTCACTTTATTATACTAAAATTGAATGGGCTAAAAAACTGCATACCAAAAAAATTTCTAACAATTCTGAATAAAAAGTTTAAAAATTTTGAGAAAATTTGTCGAATTTTCATAATTTTTGTATAAAGTTTGAAAAGGGGATTTATACGGTGTTTGTTGAATATATAGCCATGCTTTTTTAAAAAAGTATTAAACATAAAATAAACCATGGAATTACATATAACAAAAACTCTTCAAAGTAAGGCGAGTCTATTATTTCTGCCCCCACTGTATGTATACCCGCCAGAATAATCTCCGTACAGTATTTTTTTTTTTAATATTTCTTTTGCGGGCCAATGAAACTAATAGTGGAATGGACTGGGAACGCTACCGCTCCATGCGAAAATATATTACTTTGGTGAATAGATAATAGCAAGGCGAATTCATACAAGGTGATAGCGGCAGCACAAAAATCAAAAACTAAACTAAAAATTTATACGCACGATAACAATCGGACCGCAAAAAACGACATTTTGACAATCGGCGAAATTCGCCTTCAAATCAGCTGTTCCGGAATCACCACCTGTATGAATGCGCTTTGGGAAGTAGTTATGAGACTTTTGTCTGCGATTGGAGTCGAACAGCTAAGC